ATTATGGTAATAATCTTTTTAATATATTTCTGAATTTGCTTTGCTAGTATTTTGTTAAAGATTTTTGCATCAGTGTTCATAAAGGATATTGGTCTATATTTTTCTTTAGAGCCTTTGTCTGACTTTGATATCAGGGTAATTTTGGCTTCATAGAATTAGTTAGGAATTATAGGCAGTCTTTCTTCCTTTTCAGGTTTTGGGAAGAGTTTGAGAAGGGTTATGATTAGTTTTTCCTTAAATGTTTGGTACATTTTCACCAGAGAAGCTCCAGGGCAGGGCTTTTCTTTGTCCAGAGATTTTTGATTACTGATTCTAGATACTAGTCCTTTGATGAATAAGTGGTCTGCAAATATTTTTTGTCTGCCTTTATCTTCTCATTTCATTCTTTTATTAGAGTTTTTCACAGAGCAAAAAGTTGTAAATTTTGATGAATCCAATAGATAAATGTTTTTTCTTTTATAGGTTGTTCTTTTTTGTGTTAAGTTTTAAGAACACTGCCTAGCTTTAGATTCCAACAGGTTTTTTTGGAAAAATTTTAAAGTTTTATATTTTACATTTAAGTTCATGGTCCATTTTAAATTAATTTTTATATAAGCCAGTTGTTTTTTGTTGTTGTTTTCTAAGTAGATGTCCATCTGCTTCAAGACCAAGAATGTCTTTTCTCTCTTGTTTTCTTTCACCTTTGTCAAAATTTAGTTAAGCATGTTTGTATGGGTCTATTTCTTTGTGCGTCTGTTTCTATTTCTGCTTCTTAATTCTGTCCCATAGATCACTGTCTCTTCCCTCATCAGTACTGTACAGCCTTGATTACTGTAGCTATATAATAAGTCTTGCAGTTGGGTAGACTGATTCTTCCCAGTTTAATTACAATTTTTTTTTAGCTTTGTAGTTCCTTTGCCTTTCCACAAAATTTTTTAGGACAATCTTGTCTATATTTACTAAAAATCTTTTTGAGATTCTGATAGGAATTATGTTAAACCTCTGTATCAATTTGAGGATAATTGATGTCTTTACCATGTTAGTTTGTTAGTTCATGAACTTGGTATGTCTGTCTCTGTCTTTATTTTTATTTTTAATTTTTTTACCACTACTGTACATGTGTAAAGAACCGTGTCTCTGTCTTTAGATCTTTGATTTCTTTCATCAGTGTTGCTTTGTTTTCAGCATTCTGTACATGTAGATTTACACCTGAGCATCTCCATTGTTTTTTTTCAGTGATAGTAAATGTTTGAGCTCATTTATTAGCTTAAGGAGTTCCTTTTGTTTTCTGTTCTTTTGGTAGTTTCCTCGAGATTTTACATAGACAGTCATATTCATCCATAAATAGGGGTAGCTTTATATCTTCATTTTAAATCTGTATGCATTTTATTTGTTCTTGCTGCCTTATTGTGCATTTCATCACTATATTGAGTGAGAGTGATGAGAGCAGACATCCTTCCTTTGTTTTCCTGTGTTCTTCTCTTAAAGGGAATACATTTAGTCTATAATAATTAAATGTAATGTTAACTGTAAGGTTTTTATAGATGTTCTTTATCAAGTTGAGGAAGTACCCATTCATTCCTGTTTTCTGAGAGTTTTTATTGTGACTAGATGTTGGATTTTGTCAGATGCTTTATCTGCATCTGTTGATATGATCATGTGATTTTTCTTTAGCCATTTCATATGGTGTTTCATTGATTGAAACATTCAGCCATTTCACTGCTGTTCGAATATTGAATTAGCTTTGTATCCTTGAAATATTAACAACTTGGTCATGATACAAAATCTTTTGTAGATATTGCTGAATTATATTTGCCAATACTTTGGTAAAGATTTTTGTATCTAAATTGATGAGGGATGTTGTTTTATAATTTTCCTTTTTGTACTTTTTTTGTGTAGTTTTAGTATCCGGGTAATATTAGCTTCATAAAATGAATGGGGAAGTATGCCTTCCCCTTTTATTTTCTGAAAGACGTTTTTTGAAATTGGTGTTAATTCTTCTTTAAATGTTTGGTGATGTTCTCCATTGAACCCACCTGAGCCTTCTTTTTTGGAAATTTAAAAATTATATTTTCTGTTTCCTTAATAGTTATAATGTTATTTAAATGATCTATTTTATGTGAGTTGTGATAGTTTGTGTTTTTAAATGAATTGGTCTGTTTTGTCTAAGATATCAAATTTATGTATGTAGAGTTGCTGCAGTATTTTATTATCCTTTTAATGTCTATAGGTTCTGTATTGTTATTTCATTTCTGATGTTGGAAATGCGTGTATTTCTCTTTTTCTCTTGTCAGTCTTGCTAGAGGTTTCTCAGTTATACTGAAATTTTTAAAAAACCAGCTCTTTATTTCAGTGCGTTTTCTCTGTTGCCCAGAAATAAAGAGCTGTTGTTCTTATTTTCAGTTTTATTGATTTCTATTCATTCTTTCCTTCTGATCACTTGGGTTTATTTTGTTCTTTGTTTTTATTGTTTGGTTTTGTTTTGTTTTAGACATCGTCTTACTCTGTCACCCAGGCTGGAGTACAGGCTCACTGCAACCTTTGCTTTCCAGGTTCAAGTGGTTCTTGTGCTTCCGCCTCCCAAGTAGCTGGGATTATGGGCACGTGCTACCACACCCAGCTAATTTTTGTATTTTTAGTAGAGACGAGGTTTCTTCACCTTGCACAGACTGGTCTTGAGCTCAGGTGATCCACCTTGGCCTCCCACAGTGCTGAGATTACAGGCATGAGCTACCACACCCGGCCTTAATTTGTTCCTTTTCTAGATTTATGAAGTGGGAGCTTAGATTATCGATTTGGAACTTTTTCTTTTCTAATGGAGGCATTTAATACCATAAATTTATCTCTCAGCACTTCTCTAGTTGTATCTTACAAAATTAGATATGTGTATTTTCATTTTCTTTCTTTTTGGGACGGAGTCTCACTCTGTTGCCCAGGCTGGAGTGCAATGGCACAATCTCGGCTCACTGCAACCACTGCCTTCCAGGTTCAAGCAATTCTCCTGTCTTAGCCTCCCAAGTAGCTGGGACCACAGGCCTGTGCCACCATGCTCAGCTAATTTTTATGCCTTTGACAAAGATGAGGTTACACCATGCTGGACAAGCTGGTCTCAAACTCCTGACCTCAGGTGATCCACCTCAGCCTCCTAAAGTGCTGGGATTAGAAGTGTGAACTGCTGTGCCTGGCCCGTATTTTTATTTTCATTCAGTTCTATGTACTTTAATTTCCCTTGAGACTTCCTCTTTTTATTTTGAAGTATATTTTTGGGTTTCTAAGTGTTTGGAAGATTTCCTGTTATTTTTCTTTTATTGATTTCTAGCTTGATTCTTGGTGGTCAGAGAACATATGTGATTTTTTTTTTTTTTTAATTTCCATAGGTTTTTGGAGAACAGGTGATAATTTGGTTACATGAATAAGTTATTTAGTGGTGATTTGTGAGATTTTGGAGCACCTGTTACCTGAGCAGTATACACTGAATATGATAGCAGTTTTAAAAAATCTTTTGATGTTTGTTTTATTGCCCAAAATATGGTTTATTACTGCTGTATGTTCTGTGGGTAGTTGAAAAGAATTTGTATTTTTCTATATCTGGAATGTTCTGTAAATGTTAGTGCATGTCTATTGGTTGATGGTGTTGTTGAATTCTTATGTAATCTTACAGATTTTCTGCTAGTTGTTCTATCAGTTATTGAGGGGGGTGGTCACATCTTCGACCTGCAGATTTGTCTGTTTCTTTTTTGTTGTTGTTCTATCAGATCCTGCTTTGTGTATTTTGGAGCTTTGTTGTTTGGCACTTAAATATTACGATTGCTGTATCTTCTAGGTGTATCGACCCTTTATTATTACATCTCTTTGATGATTTTCTTTGCTCTGAAGTCAAGTTTATCAAACACAAATATTAAGCTGTATATAGCTCTACTTGTGTTTGATAAACATGACTTCAGAGCAAAGAAAATTATCAGTTAAGTTTAAATTAACTGAATAAACTATCAGCTAATATTAAAAATATCAGTTAATAAACAGTATCAAGTTAATATTTGCATGATATATCTTTTTCTGACCTCAGTCTGCCTACTTTGTTACATTTTGAGTGACTTTCTTGTAGCTAGCATATAATTAGGTCATGTTTCTTGTTGCTGGCTTCTTCATCTCCAAATCTGGGATGTATGCGATAAAAAGAAAAACCAGGGAATTCACAATCATGTCATCACTGAGACCCCTACTCAGCCTACCTTCTTCTCACCACCTTTAAGTGTTGTTTTCTATATTAATACAATGTCCAGCGTTTCTAGTTGTACTTAGCAGGAGGAATATGGAAAAGTACATCTACTTCACCTTCCTGAGGTGGAAGTTCCAGGGTTTCACTTTATTTATTGCCATATCCCTGCTGTCTATGTCAGATATCATCAATGTTCAGTAAATATCTGTTGAATGAATTAATGATTTGTTGATCAGAGTGAATTTGTATATTAATTTTATGTATGTTAAATACTTGATTGTTTCTTACTGTAAAACATTTAGAGAATATTAGTTTTTTCCCCCACCAAGATCAGATTTAGTCTTATCTGAGTGCATTATAATTTTTCTTAATTTAATTGATGGTTGTTTACATTTTGCCCCACTTTCACTAATCTGTGGCAGAAAATGAAAATTAGAGAATGTTTTCAGCCCTGCATGTTTGTGTTCTCTATGCCTAAGTGATACAAAGTCCAGTAAATACTTAACTCCAATTGTATCATACTTTCCTGACAAGTGAATTGTAGAGATTGAGATAGAGACAGTTATGCTCCTTATAATAATTGAAGTACTGCTGATAATTTGGGATGTATTAACACAGGCTTTGTTTTAAAATTGTTTTATTGGTTAGAAGTCTGTTAGCTACCTTTAGAGGTGAATTAAATTAGATAGTATACAACATTTTGACAGATGCCACCTGGATGAGGATCAGGTGCAGGAAATATTTGTTTCTCTTTGAGCCTGAGAGATTTCTTATTGTCCTGTTTAATTGGTGCTATTTATAGGTCCCTTCAATAATCAGGAGATGGCAGAATGGTTTCAGGCGGGCTATTTTACTATGTCTTTATTGGTGAAGAGAGCATGTGATGAAAGCTTCCAACCTCTTGGCGATATCATGAAAATGTGGGGAAGGGTTCCCTTTTCTCCAGGTCCAGCTCCACCTCCCCATATGGTAAGTACCTTCTACCTCACCTGGAATGCATGTTAGACACAGACGCGCTTGATTCTCTTTGAAAACACAACCCAAATATATCATCTAATGAAGGAATTGTAGTTCTTTGAAATTAATGGAAATGGAAAGAGGAAGTCTGAATGGAAGACTGAATTCTTAACTATAATGATCTTTTCAAAACCCAAATAACCTGCGCCCATCCTCTTCACACCCAACCTCCTCCCCAACAGTGAAATGGAATCCTTCAGTAGCATTCCAGCAGAAGTAGAATGAAGACCAGCATCTTTATCTTGGCCTGCCTACCAGGTCCTGCAGTGCCTGGCACTTTATCTTTCTAAGCTCATTTCAGTGATTTTACCTTTATCTGCTAGGCTTCAACACAGTTGACCTTTTTGACTTTCTTACTACCTCCACTTAGAATAAACATTCTTCTGTGTTCTACTTCGTTTTCCTCTTGCCTTCTCACTCATAAAGTTTCTAAATTTGAGGTTTGCTTTAAAACAAATGTTACCAGTGCTTCAAAATATTTTGAGGACTTAAAAAAATTAGTTACTGGTATTTTAATTAAAAAATGGAACCAGGCACATTGGCTCACTTCTGTAATCCCAGTGTGGGAGAGATTTGGGAAGCCAGAGTTAGAAGATTGCTTGAGCCCAGGAGTTTCAGACCACCCTGAGCAATGAAGTAAAACCCTGTCTGTACAAATAGTAGCAGTAGTAATAATAATAAGTAAATAAACTAGCCAGGGGTGGTGGCAAGCAGTGGCAGAGGTGGGATGATCACTTGAGCCTAGCAAATTGAGGCTGCAGTGGGCTATGACTGCACCATTGCACTGCAGTTTGGGCAACAGAGTGAGACTCTATCTCAAAAATAATAATAAAAGGAACCGTAATGCTGGTGGTCTCCCTAGGGCTCTGACACTGGGGTACTATTGGCAGAGACACCCTTCTTCCTTTTGCAGCTGCCCGTGGCCTCTCCCAGTGGTGTTCCTTTTGGAGGTCTCTCACCTGAACCTCACTTTTTTTTCTCCGCGTTGGACTGTCTGGTAGTGGGCTATAATTAAAAGTTACCATAAACCTTTTTTTTTTTTTTCCAAAGAGATGGGGTCTCACCATGTCGCCCAGGCCAGTCTTGAACTCCTGGGCTCAGGCAGTCCTCCCATCTTGGCCTTCCAAAGTGCTGGATTACAGGCATGAGCCACTGTACCCAGCCCATAAATCTTTAGTGTGAACACCACATCTCTACAGTAAAATCACCATTGACTTATTCATCAATTGTATATTGAGGGCCTGTGCCAGGCCTCATGGTAGGTTCTTATGAGATGAAGATGAGCAACACCTAGCCCCTGTAGTTGGGGGAGTCTGTAGGTGAGGAAAGTGGCTTTTTTTCCATTTTCTTTCTTTTAAATGTTGGTTTTAACCCAGTAACTGATTTTATAGTTCACTAATATGTTGAGACCTTTAGTTTGTAGAGAGCAGTGGTCTAGAATGGAAGATTCCTGGGTGAGAGAAATTATTTCTCACACCATCCTAGTTGTTTTACGTCACAAGAAAAATTATACCGTGTATTGCGGCATATAAAGTTAACTTATATGTTAAATTTAAGCCTTATTTCCCTTTTCTGAAATTAAGATTGGTTTTGGTCTTGCACATCTCAGAGGCTAAAAGCTTATCTGTTGGATCTTGGCATGCTTGCAGTAGTCCAGTTTCCAGTTAGAAGGGCTGAGACTCAGTCATACCTGCATAGGAGGGAAACTGTGGAAAGCCCTCCTTCCTGTCAGTTATTGTCTTTTCCCTAAATATTGTTGATGAGAAGAGAGCTCCCCTTCATAATGAATGTATACCTTGAAACCTGGTTTTTCATGTAGACATTTTAGATGAACCTAAAGTAATAGCTTTCCTCCAATATTGAATAAGCAAGAAAAATGTCTCTGAATTTCAGGTAATCTCTACCCCAAGAAATTGTATATCAGATGTCATATTTCAAACTATAATCAATATATGATAAAGGCATAAACTCATGATTTACCTGTTTAGTCTGTCATACTTACACTTTTACATCTGTTATGTTATACTTCACGTTTCTTTCTCCTAATTTTAACTTTTCGTAATTAAAATTCCAGTCCTGTTATTTCACATATAAGTCAAAAAATTGGTTTTATTTTACCACAGCTTATTTTTTCTAACTCATGATGTATTAATAGTGATGGAAACACTTTATTTGGGGGGAGAGTTAGAGTTTTCAAGTTCTTTTTATTCTTAACATCTTTAAGAGATATACTGGCTCGCTCCATTCCTTAAGTACCATTATAAAATTCTACTATAACATTTCCTTTGACCTTTGGATAATTTTGCATTTTTCTGTATTATATCCAGTTTCTCTAATTTCTGCATGATCTCCAAATTTACAAATCCACTTTTAAGATTGAGAGAAGTATACAGTCTTTCAGTTACCGTAATAACTGGAGTACAGTTGAACATCAGCTTTAGAGGCAAGATTGGAGAATGGCAGCTGAAATCAGGACCCTTTCTCACCTTAGGGGATCTTTTATAACATTGACACCACTGTTTCCACTAGATTGCATTGTTTAGTTTTCAAAGACACCTGAGTTTTTAGTCAAGTGTTTGGGTAAAAGGGAGGCAGAGGTCTTAGATTCATTTCGATTTCAGATACCAGCACTAAGTTGCTTTTAGGTTCTTTGCAGTTTATTTAATGCTATTTGTTTCCTCACCACCTCATTCCCAGGGAGAGCTGGACCAGGAACGACTGACCAGGCAGCAAGAACTCACAGCCTTATACCAGATGCAGCACCTGCAGTACCAGCAGTTCTTAATACAGTAAGAATAGTAATGCAGTAGGATGTACTGCAGCGTGAAAAGGGACTTTAAATAGAATCTGCTATCAAGTCTCACCTTTTACAAGAGCTAAAGTCTTATATGGCACTTCAGTCGCCCTGCTAGTGGCGTCTTACCACTATTCATTCTAATTTTAGTCTTGTCTTTTATATATTTATGTATTTATTTATTTTTGAGACAGAGTCTCACTCTGTCATCCAGGCTGGAGTGCAGTGGTATGATCTAGGCTCACTGCAACCTCCACCTCCCGGGTTCAGGTGATTCTCGTGCCTCAGCCTCCTGAGTATCTGGGAGTACAGGCATGTGCCACCACGCCCAGCCTATTTTTGTATTTTTAGTAGAGATGGGGTTTCACTGTGTTGGTGAGGCTGGCCTCAAACTCCCAGCCTCAAGTGATCTGCCTGCCTCACCTTCCAAAGTGCTGGGATTACAGGCGTGAGCCACCGTGCCCAGCTTATCTTACTTTTAAATACCAGAAGTTTAGATGATGACATGTAACTTTAATTTTGTAAGCTCTTTAGTTTGTAAGTGCCTCCTGAGTGGCTCAGCTTTGAATGCCACCATTGGGTGGGGGAGTGGGGATTGGGGGGAGTGTGGGGAAGCCATAAGTGAGAGGGTAGGAGGGAAAAAGTTAATTTTTTTTTTAGGAGCGGTATGGAATGATGGCAAAGTCAGTCAAAGTCAGTCAGATTTTGATTTCTCTCTTTTGTAGAAGAAATAAAATTTGCTGTTATATAGTGCAGAGGTTGGCAAAGTCTGGACTTTAGGCCAAACCTGGCCTGCTCTCTATTTTTATAAGCAAAGTGTTACTGAAACAGACACACCTGTTTGTTTGTAGGTTGTATATTAACTGCTTTTGCCTTAAGATGGCAGAATTGAGTAGTTGGAACAGAGAGTATTTGACCTGCAGAGATGAAACTATTTACTCTCTGGCCCTTTACAAAAGTGTGTCTAACCCTGATCTAGTGAAGAAAAATTACCTAAATTTCTCCAAGTTAAAAATATCAATGTATGAATTTTTATAGAACTGTTATATTTTTTACAAAGGGTGCTTCATATGGAAAAAGCTACTAGTTTGAATCTGTTTTATTTTTCATTTGTTTTCTGATAAAAGGTTAGTTATCTTGGGAGTTTACTGGTTTTTAACATTTGTGATTTTAAAAATATTTTTTCTAAATAGACCACTTTCCACTGAATTGTGAATTTTTTTGCTGTCCTCTTTCACTCAGAAACATGTCATCTATGACGAGTTCAGATCTTTCCAGAATGAAGCATAGAATTTTCTATTTGTCTGTTATCATAATGAAGAATTATTAAATATATTTGATAGTCATTTCTAATAGTGTTTCCTGAGACACTTTGAATTGAACTTTGACTTTCAACATCTCAATCATGTGAACTAAATGTGGATTGACAGGTTATACTTTTTTTTTTTACTTCTTTGAAGACAACAATATGCACAGGTTTTGGCCCAACAGCAGAAAGCAGCCCTGTCTTCCCAGCAGCAGCAGCAGTTGGCCCTTCTTCTTCAACAGTTTCAGGCCCTGAAGATGAGGTTGGTGATCATTCCATTATGTGTCATATTGGGTGCATGTGTTGTGGAAGAAAGGATAAATTGTGGTTTAGTGTGTGATATCTGGTACCAAACACAGCCTATACCTGCATGTTGTATGTAAAAACTATATACTTTTTAAAAATAATATTTCAGGTGGAGATAAACAATTATTTAGTCTTTTACTCATAGAGGATAAATTTTGATTAATCAAAAGAGCAAAGAACAATGAAAACACTTAAGAAGCAGTGTCGTCTTATGGAAGCTGCAACATTAAACTGTGGCCTAGGATTTTAATTTCACTTTCATCCATAGTATCTCAAGAAAGTATTAGCCACACCACCCAAGGTTATAATTTTCTAGAATCCAAAAGCCATTAAGGTAGGTCTAAGGAAAAGGAAATTTTGACAGAAGTCTAGAATAAATTTCTCCTGTTTCAGATTATCATTCATAGTAATATTTCTCCTGAACAAGTAACCGTCACTGCTCTCACAAACCTTACTGTCTCATTCAGCCAAAACTGTTCATATTTCTTTTGCGCCTTAACCCATCCTGTTAGGTAGGCACTTCAGGTGGTAGGAACTCCACTTTATAGATGGGCAAACTGGGACTCTGAGAGACTAAAGGACTTGATTAATGTAACACACAGGAAACTCAAGAGAAAAAAGTAAAATGCAGGCCTTTAATCTTAAAGTGCATTGACTTTTTCATTATAACGTGCTGTCTCTGTGATTTCTATTGAGATGATCTGGGTTTTTTAAGACAGTAAGTATATCCATCATTTAGAAGTCAATTCTCTGTTACCATAGAGGATTACAGAAGTGTGATCATGGTGCCCTTCTCTTCCACTCCAAACTGCTTTGGTAGTGTTAGGTTTTAGTAAAACAGTGAAGGTGTTTTCTAGCCAAATAACCTGGAGAACCTACAGATAATCTAGAAATTCCTCTTTATCATTTTTCTTTTTTTGCAAATGATAAGAACAAGTTAATTTTTTATTTCCCTTTTGCAGAATATCTGATCAGAACATCATTCCCTCAGTACCTAGGTCTGTGTCGGTGCCAGATACTGGCTCTATCTGGGAGCTTCAGCCAACAGCTTCACAGGCTACAGGTAAAAACTTAGACTGACCTTTAGAGCCACTTTAAGGATTTAGAGTCTAATAATAATTTTACAATTTAGCTCTTAAAAAATATATTAGGTTTCTAGATCCATTTTGTATTGCATATTAACAAAAAGGTCTGTTTTTTCCTAGATCCAAGCAATATTGAAGGTATTACTGAAAATATACTTTTAAGGATTTGTTTGAAATTATTTAGTGGATTTTTTTGTTTTTTGAGTCAGCGTCTCTTTTATGTTGATCTGATCAGTGTGGAAAAATCATTTAAATTATTATTTTTTTTTTTTTTTTTTTTTTTTTTGAGACGGAGTTTCACTCATGTTACCCAGGCTGGAGTGCAATGGCGCGATCTCGGCTCACTGCACATTTAAATTATTTTTTATCTCTTCAGCCAGATGGGAAAAAAAAGCATACATTAAAACATAAGTAACAATGATCTATTCTTTTGAGTTAAGAATTAATACCAGCTACGCATGGTGGTGTGTGCCTGTAGTGCTAGCTACTCAGGAGGCTGATGTGGGAGGGTTGCTTGAGCCCAGGAGTTCCAGGCTCCAGTGAGCTATGATCATGATAAGACACTTCAGCCTGGGCAACAGAGCCAGACTCTTGTCTCTAAGAAAAAAAAAAAGAGAGAGAGGCTGGGCAGAGTGGCTCACACCTGTTATCCCAGCACTTTGGGAGGCCAAGGCAGGCAGATCACCTGAGGTCGGGAGTTCGAGACCAGCCTGACCAACATGGAGAAACCCCATCTCTACTAAAAATACAAAATTAGCCAGGCATGATGGCGCATGCCTGTAATCCCAGCTACTCGGAAGGCTGAGGCAGGAGACTGGCTTGAACCCAAGAGGTGGAGGTTATGGTGAACCAAGATCACGCCACTGCACTCCAGCCTGGGCAACAAGAGCGAAACTCTATCTCAAAAAGAAAAAAAAAAAAAGAATTGATATAACTAATACTGTAGATACCCAGAAATTTTGGGAAAAGAAAAACCTGCTATGAAGTGAACACCTTTTCTCATTTTTATCTTTTTACATCAATTAGAAAATTTGGGGTTAAGTTTTTTTTAAGTCTTGGTATTGGTGGAGCACCTCTGTTTCGTTTCTTTTTTCCTTTCCTCTTCCTTTTCCTTTCCCTTTCCCTGTCCCTGTCCCTGTCCCTGTCCCTGTCCCTGTCCCTTTCCCTTTCCCTTTCCCTTTCCCTTTCCCTTTCCTTTCCTTTCCTCTTTTCTTTCCTTTCCTCTTTCCTTTCCTTTCGTCTTTCCTTTCCTTTCGTCTTTCCTTTCTCTTTCCCTTTTTTTTTTTTTTTTTTTCCTGAGGCAGACTCTTGCACTGTCACCAAGGCTGGAGTGCAGTGATGTGATCTTGGCTCACTGCAACCCCCGCCTCTCAGGTTCAAGCGATTCTCCTGCCTCAGCCTCTGAAGTAGCTGGGGCTACCTACAGGCACATGCCGTCACACCCGGCTGCTTTTTGTATATTTAGTAGAGATGGGATTTCACCATGATGGCCAGGCTGGTCTTAAAGTGACCTCAAGTGATCCACCCGCCTTGACCTGTCAAAGTGCTGAGATTACAAGTGTGAGCCACTGTGCCCAGCCGAGCTCCTCTGTTTCTTAAGGTCTAAATACCTGCATAGGTGGACGGTTTGATCCATGGTTAGTCCTTTCAAGAAATCATAGTTGGTATTGAGATCCCCAAGAACTATATGCCTTGATGGAGTTTGTCAGGAGCTGTTGAGCCATTCAGGTCATGCCTCTGTTGTTTACATTGACCTTGCAGGTTATGGCAGAAGGATGGTTGCTCATTAACTTTCCATGCTGTTTGTACTTTATTTTCTCTTGGTAGCCATTTATAGTTAGAATATTAAGAATACACGTTGAGCACCATTCCCTAATCCAAAAGTCCACAATCCAGAATGCTCCAAAATCTAAAACTTTTTGAGCACTGACATGATTTCATGAGTGGAAGTTTTATTTTATTTTGTTTTTGCTTTTGAGGCAGAGTCTCACTCTGTTGCCGAGGCTGGAGTCCAGTCGCACAGTTTCGGCTCACTGCAACCTCTGCCTCCTGGGTTCAAGAGATTCTCCTGCCTCAGTCTCCCGAGTAGCTGGGATCACAGGTGCCCACCACCATGCCTAATTTTTGTATTTTTAAAAAAGATGGGGTTTCACCCCATTGGCCAGGGTGGTCTCAAACTCCTGGCCTCAAGTGGTCTGCCTGCCTCGGCCTCCCAAAGTGCTAGGATTACAGTCACAAGACATGACACCCAGCTGACGAGTGGACAATTTTACACATAAATACTTAACATAAACATTTTGTTCATACCCCAAATTATTAAAAATGTTGCATAGGTCAGGTGCAGTGGCTCACGCCTGTAATCCCAGCACTTTGGGAGGCTGAGGCAGGTGGATCATAAGGTCAGGAGTTCGAGACCCGTCTGACCAACATGGTGAAACCCTGTCTCTACTAAAAATACAAAAATTAGCCAGGTGTGGTGGCACGTGCCTGTTATCCTAGCTACTCGGGAGGCTGTGGCAGGAGAATTGCTTAAACCTGGGAGGCAGAGGTTGCAGTGAGCCGAGATTGTGGCACTCTACTCCAGCCTGGGTGACAGAGTGAGATTCCGTCTCAAAAAAAAAAAAAAAAAAAGCTACATAAAAGTACCATCAGGCTATAGGCTATGTCTATAAAGTGTTTATGAAAGATTAATGAATTTTTTGTTTAAACTTGGATCCCATCCCAAAGATAGCTCATTATGTATATGCAGATATTTTAAAATCTGAAAAAAAAATCCAAAATTTGAAATGCTTTTGATCTGAAGGCATTTTGGATAATTGATACTCAACCTGCATACTCCAGTGTTTTGGAAACTTTTAAATACTCTATTAAACAATTTATTGCTTTGGGTTTCTATGCAGTCAAAGTCCTTTACAAATAGTCTGGTTTTATACAGACAATATTTGATAGTTTATAAATAGACTATGATAGGAATGTAGAAAATAGAGAATGCTGAAAAGTGATACCAGCAAACTTCACTGGCAATAGGACAGTGAACCGAGAAGCCATTATCTGTTTACTTCCAAATGTGATCTTCCAGTGCCTTTCAGGTTAGCAGGACCAGATCTCATTTATGAGACCTGTCTAGCTTTCCAGAGGCCTGTGCACCTCCAGCTGTAATGCTTACTTGCAATCTGTCTTTATTGAGATGAAATTCACTTAACACAAAATTAACCATTTTTTAAAGTGAACCGTTCAGTGGTATTCACCATGTTGTGTAACCACCTACTTCTCTCTAGTTGGTGTGCAGTGAGAGGCTGAATGGTTATTGGAAATCTGTGGGCTTTGGAATGTAATACACTGGGATTTAAATCCTGACATGGCCGCATTCTTGCCATGTGCCCTTGGGAGTGTTAGAAACTACTTCTGACTTACATGGCTTTGTGAGGATGAGGTTAATTTTGTAATAAATGTCTGATACTTCACTTCCTTCTAGATGTGTTAAAGGATATTCATAGAAGCTAGAGTCCATTCACAGTTCAGCCTGCTTAGAAGCAAAACAGATTATGTTTGGTGGAGCTCATTTAGGCACAGGGAAGTAGCTTTTTTCATGATTCCTACGGATATGTTACCATGTGTGTAAGCTCTGTCATCCCTATTTCTTTCTTTTGTTGTCTTACAGTTTGGGAAGGTGGCAGTGTATGGGATCTTCCTCTGGACACCACGACACCAGGCCCTGCCCTGGAACAACTTCAGCAGCTAGAGAAGGCCAAAGCTGCAAAGGTCCGAAACTCATTCTTCTACAGCAGTGCATTGCCATCTTGCTGCAGGAAATAAACATTGCTGTTTATTCATCTCTCTAGTTAGCTAGCTGTACTTTTTACTTTCACTTTTACTGCTGCTTAGCTGGTATAAGTACATTTGTATTGTATCTTTATTGTACCCTCTTCTCCCAAAAAAATTTCAAAACAATTTAAATTACTATGTTTGGATTGGTTAGTTGGCATATTGATGATTATAGGCACAGATATATTTTAGTTACATTATTTATGGTATGAACGTTTGTTATAAATAAGAAGACTGTGAGAAAATATCCACTTCATTATGGATGAGACTCCTGATATGTGGCTTGAGTTCTCCCATTGAATCTTCATAGTGGTGTTTGTTTATGTTTCTCAGTATCCTCAGACATACCAGCCAAAAAGTGCAGCAGTAACATTAGATCGTGAGTTCCATTCAGTTTTTAGAAGAGCTAAATCTTAAATTTTGGTTTTAGTACTTGCCAGAAAAGAATGTCTACATCAATTACTTAATGTCATTATAATGATTTTAGGTTCTCATGCCTACAAGAGAGTGTTGTTACTGTTTTAGACTCAATGCAGTCTTATCCCCTGAGGGTGTGACAGTCTCCTTAGAGTGCCCAGAATGTGGAAAGGTTCATTCAACATTGCCATTAAAACATGATAGCCACACTGTTAAATGTTCAATCAGAAAATTCTATGTGGTGTAATGGTAATGTCGAATGTGGAGGCAAGTACAGGTAGGAGGAAATTGTATTCAGTTGCAACGAGCATAAAATTCTTCTAATTACTGTGATATGTCACAGCTTAGAGTTCTTACAGTGTGTACATGTTGCAGCATATATCAAAATTTCCTTCCTTTTAAAGGTTGAATAATATTAATATTCCATTGTATGTATATACCAAATTTTGTTTGTCTGTTGATCTGTTGGATCACTCAGTCGCAGTACAGTACAAATAACTGTGAATAGATAATACTAGTCAGTCCTTTGGGAGTGTTCCTGTGCTTGGTTTCCATTTTCTAAGAGTACTCTTTGTGTCATCACAGCTAGAGCAAGAGAGAAGGGAGGCAGAAATGAGGGCAAAACGGGAGGAGGAAGAACGAAAGAGGCAAGAAGAACTCCGAAGACAACAAGAGGAAATTCTTCGGCGACAGCAGGAAGAGGAAAGGAAAAGGCGAGAGGAAGAAGAACTTGCCCGAAGGAAACAGGTATATCTCTGGGAACTCAGACCATAGGATAGTGCTTGATGAAGTCCACAGGATTGGGGTTAGAACCTTAGACGACTCGTTCACCTTGGAGAGAATCTCTGTTTTCCACCAACACCCACTTAGGGATATCCTTCAGTCCTAGTAAACCACTGGAATTTATTTTCTTTGCATATTTCCTAGGGCTTTTTAAACGAGTTAGATTTCAGAAGTTCTGTCCTTGTGGCTGAAAACAATGAGAAAAGTAACTGATGTGCAGCATTAAATGTCAAATTCTGAAAGCCACATGGACTTTAAGAAAATTGTGCTAACGTATACATAAAATTTACCATTTTAAATGTACTTTTAGTGGTGTTAAGTATATTCATTCACATTGTTGTGCAGCCCTCACAGATATGTCTAAAACTTCTCCAGCTTTGCAAACTGAAACTGCATACCCATTAAACAAGGAGCCCCACTCCCTCCATCCCATAGCTCATAGTAACCACCATTCTTCTTTCTGTATCTGTGAATTTAAACTAATTCAATTCCTTATGTAAGTAGAATTATACAATGTTTGTCCTTTTGTGATGGGTTTATTTCATTTAAGTTTTATTCATGTTGTAGCATATATCAGAATTTCCTTTGTGAAGGTTGAATAATATTACATTGTGTGTTTATCCATTCCTATTTTGTTTATCCATTTCTCTGTTGATGGACATTTGGATGACTTCCACCTTTTGGCTCTTGTTAATAATGGGGCTGTAAACATGGGTATATAGATACCTGTTTGAGTCCTTGCTTTCAACTCAGATTTTGTGTATACACCTAGAAGTGGAATCGCTGGATCATATGGTAATCCTCTTATTTTTTTGAGGAACTGCCAGATTGTTTCCAACAGCAGCTACTCCACTTTACATTCCTGCTGACAATGCACAGCGGTTTCAGTGTCTCCAGGTTCTACCAACACTTGTTGTTGTTGTTGTTTGTTTTTGTTTATTTATCTTTGATAATGGCTTTTTAAATGGGTGTGAAGTGGTATTTCATTGTAGTTTTGATTTCCATTTCCCTAATGATTAGTGTTGTTGAGCATCTTTTCACATGCTTATTGACCATTCAGACGTACTTTTAAAAAGTATCTTTGACTAAGACCTCTGCCTTCTCTTTATTCTTTCCGTTAATGAATCTCTTCTCTATTTTAATGACTAGTCTTTCAAAATAGGGAGCAAAAAAAAACAACTCTACACATATATTTGCTTTATAACATTTTCTATATAGCTGAGCAAAAATCAGAAAGATAAGACAAATTTTATTTTTCCCCTAGAAAATAGGTTTTCATTTGAAGAAATTTAGACAGAAATCATCTAGCAATAATTTCAAATGTAACCATGTTTGTGTATGGTATGAGATGAGGGTCTGATTTCATTCATCTGCCTATGGATATCCGGTTTTCTCACCACAATTTATTAAAGAGACTAATCTTTCTCCATTTTCCCCATTATGTGTTTCAGGCATCTATATGAAAAATCAGTTGAGTGTAAATGTGTGGATTTATTTCTGGGCTTTGTATTCTCTCTTTGCTTTCTTCTTCTTCTTCTTTTTTTTTGGGGGGGGGTGGGAGGGGGAGACAGTCCCCAGGCTGGAGGTATATATCATTTGTACTTATTTTATAACCCTCCTTTTGACATTAATGAATTATGTCATCTTTCCATGTCAAATATATATCTAAAAATTTACATCATATTTGCTAGCTGTATAAAATTTCACTTTATAAGTAAATTATAGTAAGTTAATCAGTTCCCTATTGTTGGACATGTGCGTTGTTTCCAGTTCATCACTGTTAGATAAGCGTTTGAATGAAAGTGTTGTAGATAAGTGTTGTCGCTGTCTTTGCTTAAGGATTTATAACCAGGGAAGTGTAGCATTTTTAATGTTTTTTGGTCTTTTGTGTGTGTGTGTGAGGGGAGTTCACTATTAACGTGCTTGGCTCATTTTCCATTGGGCTTTTCCTAGACTCCAGTTGAAAGGATCCACACTCTTAATATCCCCATGGTCTGGCCTTTACCACTTGTTTCCTACTTGTTGGCCCCAAGAGGTGCTCTGTGAGAAACCAAAAAGATCCATGCTGAGATGTAATTGGAACTACTGTTAATACTTAGAATCACTACACCATAGCATATAGAGGCTCCAAGGAATATTGCAGTAAAGAAGTATATTTAATTCTGTGTTGCTCAGTTTTCTATGAGTGATCTCAAAAATGTGTTCTCTTTGTGTGTAATACTTAATAGTATTTGTGGGATTTTGATCTTCAAAACGTGTTCTGGGACACATGGCTTTTACTCAGTACTTCTGACTGAGAGAACCTATCTTACCCAAAATTGTTGGTGGCTGTGTTGATTTGCCCTCTTGATGCCTTAAGTTCCCAGTTGATTAGGGACTAAAGATACCAGTAGAGAAACCAAAGGTTTAAGTGTAATGTAGCTCTTTCTAGGGTTAATCAGTAAATTATTAGCTAATATAGAAACCAGGATAGACTTACAGTGTATTGTAATTTAACTACTAATATTTTAAATTCAGTTTTCTTTTTATTGTAATGTGTTCTATTCCCCAACTTACATGTATAATTTTTACTCCAGATCCTGATTATGTACTTTTATGTTTACTTTTTTATGGATTCTTAGCAGCACATAGCCTATTCAAATATGACATAATAAATTGATTGATAGACCTGAGTCTGTCCCACACCCTCCATCTTTTGTCCTTAGGAAGAGGCTCTGCGTCGCCAGCGGGAGCAAGAAATTGCATTAAGACGACAGCAAGAAGAAGAAGAAAGACAGCAGCAAGAAGAAGCTCTTAGAAGACTGGAAGAGAGAAGAAGAGAAGAGGAAGAAAGGCGGAAGCAGGAAGAATTGCTACGCAAACAGGTGACCAGATGGTTTTCTCTTCTAATTGTTCCTTTGAAGCCGGGAATTAGTGATTTAGAAAATATTAGGACATTAAGATAGCCTATGTAAAATTTTTTCAGGTTGCTAAAAATTACCGAAAGAAACCTAAATGGCTCTTATTACTTCTGTCTAAATTTCTTCAAATGAAAACCTATTTTCTCAAGGAAAAATAAAAATTTGTCTTATCTTTCTGGTTTTTGCTTAGCTATATAGTGGAAATGTTGTAAAATAAGTGTTTTGGTTTTTTTTTTTTTAAGCCCGTTTGAAAGTTAAAATAAGCAGAATAGTGCAACATAAATCACCCAACAATAATTTTTGACGTAATGATTTTTGTGTATGGTGTGAGATGAGGCTCTGATACCATTCTGCCTATGGATATCTAGCTTTCCCATCACCATTTATTAAAGAGACTGTTCTTTCCCCATTGTGTGTTTTTGGCATCTGTGTCAATGAGTGTAAATGTGTGGATTTATTTCTGGGCTTTACAGTCTCTTTTTGCTTTTTTTTTTTTTTTTTTATAAATCAAGAGCCTCACTCTTTTGCCCAGGCTGGAGTGCAATGGCGCAATCTTGGCTGACTGCAGCCTCTGCCTCCCCAGCTCAAGCAATTCTTGTGTCTCAGCTTCCTGGGACTACAGACATGTGTCGCCACATCTGGCAAATATTTTTGTATTTTTAGTAGAGACGGAGTTTTGCCATATTGGCCAGGCTGGTCTCAACTCCTGGCCTCAGATGATTTGCCTGCCTCAGCCTCCCATAAGTGCTGGGATTACAGGTGTGTCTTTTTGCTTTTTTGACTGTATTCTTTGAAACACATAATTTTTTCATTTTGATCATGTCCAATTTATCATTTAATTAAATTAATTATTTATCTAGTTATTTTAAGACAAACTGTTAAGATGAAGGCTCACTCTGTTGCCCAGGCTGGAGTACAGTGGTGCAGTCTTGGCTCACTGCAGCCTCTGCCTCCCAGGTTTAGGCAATTCTTCCACCTCAGCCTTCCGAGTAGCTGGGACTACAGGCATGCGCTGCAATGCCCGGCTAATTTTTATATTTTTGATAGAGAGGGGGTTTTGCCATGTTGGCCAGGCTGGTCTTGAATTCCTGACCTCAGATGATCGCCCACCTCGGCCTCCCAAAGTGCTGGGGTACAGGTGTGATTCCTCTCACCTGGCCAATAATGTCCAATTTATCGTTTTTTTTTTTTTTTTTTACACAAGTTCTATACTTTTAGCTCTTTCAGGTTTACATTCTTTATATTCTCAGTACATGTTCTTTGTTAGGTAAATGTTGTATGTACTTTCCTCCAGGCTATAGCTTGTCTATTTATTTTCCTAGGTGCATCTTTTGACAAGCAGAGATTTTTTATTTTGATGAAATCCTATGAAATTTGTCTTTTATTATTAGTGGGTTTTTTCCCCCTCTATATAAGAAATGTTTGCCCACATACAGATTATTAAAATATCTCCTGATTTTTTTTTTTAAGCTTTGTAGTTTTGGTTTTACAAGTAGTTTGAAATATTTTTTCTGTATGATGTGAGGTATGGGTTCTTTCAGTGCCAGTTTTCGCATAGTCTTTCCTTTTTCTATTGAATTTTTGATGCTTTTGTCAAAGTCAATTGTATAACTATGGTTTGTTTTTTTTTAATGGACTCTTCCCTTCTGTTCCATTGGTAAGTTTGCCTGCCTTTAAATGAGTATGCACTGATTTGATTACTGTGATAGCTTTGTAGTAACTAGAAGTCAGTCAGTGTGTCTTCCAGCTTTGCTTTTTTATTCAAGACTGTTTGACTAAGATCTTTTGCCTTCCCATTAAAATTTAAAATTATCGAGTAGTTCAGGGGTCCCGCAGATCTGTCTCTTGCTTCAACAGTGTTTGGACGGAAAAGATCCCGGGGACTCTTTCTTCCAGCCTCCGACCGCCCCCCAATTTCCTCTCCACTTGCAACCTCCGAGACCATCGTCTCGGTCATCTCCTGCTTCTGGGAACCTGGCTAACACCGTTTTTGTGGTTAGCTCCTTTTTGCCGACCAACCATGAGCTCCCAGATTCGTCAAGAATTATTCCACCGACATGGAGGCAGCCGTCAACCACCTGGTCGGCGTGTACCTGCAGGCCGCCTATACCTACCTCTCTCTGGGCTACTATTTTGGCCACGATGATGTGGCTCTGGAAAGCGCGAGCCACTTCTTCGGCGAATTGGCCGAGGAGAAGCGCGAGGGCTACAAGCTTCTCCTGAAGATGCAAAACCAGCATGGCGGCCGCGCTCTCTTTCAGGACATCAAGAAGCCGGCTCAAGATGAGTGGGGTAAAACCCTGGACGCCATGGAAGCCGCCATGGCCGCCGCCATGGCCCTGGAGAAAAATCGGAACCAGGCCCTTTTGGATCTTCATGCCCTGGGTTCTGCCCACACGGACCCCCATCTCTGTGACTTCCTGGAGAGTCACTTCCTAGATGAGGAAGTGAAAATCATCAAGAAGATGGGTGACCACCTGACCAACCTCTGCAGGCTGGCCGGCCCAGAGGCTGGACTGGGCGAGTATCTCTTTGAAAGGCTCTCTCCAGCACAACTAACACAACTAAGAGCCTACTGAGCCCAGCAACTCATAAAGGGCCTTTGCAAAATAACAGGGCTTCTGCCTGTTATTCCACCTTCTCCAGCCACCAGGCAGCTTTCTAACTCCCCTAACAACCCTTGGACCAAATGGAAAAAAAGCTTTTTGAAAAAAAAAAAAAAAAAAAAAAAATATTAAAATTATCTTCTTAATCTCTATATAAGTAAAAACCTACTGTGATTATGATTTGGATTGTGTGGAATCTATAAATTGAGGAGAATTTGCATTTTAAGATATATTGAGTCTTCCAGGCAATGCACATGGTATATTTTTCCATTTATTTATGTTTTCCTAGTTGTTTTTTCTCAGTACCATTTTGTTTTCATTATATGGGTTATGTACATCTTTAAAATTTTGATTTTTTTTTTTTTGCTATTATAAATGGAATTTTATAAGTTTATTTTTCATTTCTATATAGAAATATAATTGATTTTCATATACTGATCTTATATCCTGAGACCTTGTTTATCTCAGCTTACTACCTCTAATAGTATTTTGTTGATTCCTTAGGATTTTCTATGGAATTTTATTGATAAATAGGAACAGTTTTAATCCTTCCTTTTCATCTTTGGAAAGAAATGGTTAAAGTGGATGATGGACAGCCTTATTTCCAGTATTAGGGAGAAAATGTCCAGTATTTCACTATTAAATATGTTGATAGTTTTTCATAAGTATCTGTTATCCAACTGAAGAAGTTTCTTTCAACTCCTAGTTTACTGAAAGTTTTTCCATGAATAGATATTGAGGTTGTAAAATGCTTTATCTGCATTGATTGATGATCATTTAGTTTTCTCATTCTGTTCATATGGTGAATTATACTATTAATAACTGAGTTTTGAAGGTTAAGCCAACTTTGTGTTCCTGGATTACCACCCTACTTTTGTTAAGAATATTTGCATCTGTGTTCATGAGGAAGATCTAGGCCTATAATTTTCTTTCTCTTCTCCTTTCTTTTTTT